CGCCATCACACCACACGCCGCACGCACGCGCAACACACGGCACACGACGACACATCGAGCAGAGGGCCGCGCACCTAGTTCGTAGTAGATGAAGTGCAGAATGCTGTATAGTTTGGCGATGATGGCGGCGAAGACCTGGAGGGAGGCCACCAGCAGGAGCCTCTTCACGAGCAGCTTCGGGGCAAATATGATCCTCAGTGCGCTCAGGCCGGTCGACAGCATGGCCAGGGCCATCTTCATCAACTGTGCACAATTTCGCACGCGCGCACACCACCGCACACGCAACACCGCACGCGCACAATTTAGAGGCTGATCGTGGGGGGAAAACTTTCGTCGTAAGCACCTTCTTGCGGAGGGCGTGAAAGGCCGTGAGGCGAGAGGAGATGTCCACGGGCAGGCCCTCGACGGGGAATCCCATGGTGATCCCCACGCATCGCATCCAGGCCATGTCGGGCGCGTTCTTCGCCATCATCGTGTTCCACCAGCTGAGTTGTGCGCACGCACAAATACGAGTAAGAGGAGGAAGAAGAAGAAGAAGAGGAGGAAGAGCTTTGCACGCGTGTGCAAGGGGAGGAAGGGGCGTGTGCCTTTGTATGAAAGTGATGAAGGCGAGAAGGAAGGAGGTTGGCAGGAGTCGCCGCCACGTCGGCACTCCGCTTCGGTGCGCGCCCAAACTGGATCCGAACCCGGCCGCCATGCTTGCCGTCGTTGCCGTTGTCACGCTACACGAAGCCATCTTTTTTTCTTTTTTTCTGCTCAAGATGACGCAAAATCGAAAATCAAAATGGAATCTCGCCCCCTCCTAAATTTGAAGGAAGTTCACCGTTGCGTTGGGAGGCGTACCAAACGGACGAAATTTGTACAAATCGCAGGAGGGGGAGCGGCTGCTTTTCTACACCCGGTGTATTTTCCAGATACAGCCGCAACTCCTCTTCAATTTACTCGAGTCGTTGTCTTGTGCTTGGTGCTCAAATCACTTCACCAGGCTACCTATGTAGCCAAGAATGATCGGAATGCCATTTGGTGGACTCCAGACCGGAAAGTCATGGGGAGAAGGGCTGCTTTTTTCGCCTCAGGTGTTGGCTCGCCCCAAAAGGCTCAAACGTTTCACACCATGAAGGAGGAGGAGGAGAGGAAGCTTGAATCACCTGCTGTCGAGGTCGTAGGGTTGCCTGTGGGTCACGATAGCCACAATGTTCTGCTCGACCATGCCCAGCAGCTAATGATGGTGCCACTAGCCTCCCTCCAGGCAGATTTTCCTTGAGGAGGTTGGT